CACTAGGTGTAGCCACTATACACTACACTACACTATACACTAGGTGTAGCCACTATACACTACACTACACTATACACTAGGTGTAGCCACTATACACTACACTACACTATACACTAGGTGTAGCATCTACTGCACAGGAGCCTCAAGTTTAGGAGCAGGCGACCAACATATTATAGACTCAAGTTTATTTTGGGTTTTTTTTTAATGCTTTTATTTGGTTACAGTTTGTTTTCTGTTTTGATGTTTTGTTTTCTTGCTTTAGATGGGGGTGTTTTATTGGGATTTATTTATTTTAGAAAGAACTTAAAGTTGGGGGAGGGAAGGAGGAGCTAGAAGAACCTGGAGGAGGGAAGAATATGATCAAACATTTAAATGTAAAACTTGCTTGAAATGATACAATATAATTTAAAAACAGCAAAAGGATAATTTTTAAAAAGTGGCAGCTGGGCAGTGGAGGCACATATCTTTAATTCCAGCACTCAGAAGGCAGAGGCAGGCAGATCTGTGAGTTCAAGGCCAGCCTGGTCTATGGAGAGAGACCTGAGGGGTGGGAGGATGAGGAGTGGCAAATGCTGGTTCTCTGCAACCACTGCTCAAAGGCTGTAATCTGTTATCTTAGCAGCTTGGCCCAGAGCCCCCAAGAAACAAAGCAAAGATGTGGCATGCAGAGTCCCCAAGTTAGATGGCTGGTGTCTTCACGCTCTCATATTGTGACTACAATTTAAAAAAAGAAAAAAAATGCGTCCCAGATGTTTTTAAACTGCAGCCACTGGACCAGGTGTGTTGCTCAGTGAAGAGTGCATGCCTGGTGTTAAGAGAGGTCCTGGGTCCAAACCCAGGCATCAGGAAAGAAGGGCACCGAGTGAACGGAAGCTAGCGTGTAGTACCACTGACTGACAACAGGTGGAAGCACTACCACGGAGAAACCACCAGCCCTTTTCTTGGCCAAAGGAAAAAAGAAAAAGGAAAAATCCCAGGAGCCACCCCCACTTTCCCGAGCCGGAAGTTTGGGGTTTCTAGTACTGAAAATGAAGACCGTGGTGTTTCCAAACCTCCTCGGTTCCCAGTCTTCAGGAAGAATCTGAGATGTTTGGGCAACAAACTCTGATGGTGTTTTTGGAAGCCTGTCTTCTTTCTAAAGAATGTGCTTCTGTTGGTTGGTAAGCCTGTACCTTCCAGAAGCCAGAGGGATCTGCACAAATAGGCAACTCGCCTGCCCCTGGCCTGCTTCCACAGGCTGGCTACTTTCTCCCAAGATCCACTCAAAAACACACATTATGCTCTCAGGATTCAGAAGTTGGCTGGAAAGAAGGGAGCAAGGTCACACCTTATTTCGGGGGTGGTAGCTGGGGGTGCTAGCTGATCACCTGGCAGGAAGGATCTCACCCTTCCCCCTAGCATGCAAGCACCCCTCCTGCTGGCCTCTTTCAGGGTCCTCTTCCCCACCACTGCTTCTAGCTACTGCTCCCTGGATGCTTTCTCAAGTGCTATTGATGGTTCCTGGATCAGCCATCCCTTGATTTGCCATGCAGCTCTGTAGCAGCAGAGAAAAATGAAGAAAACCGTATTGTAGAATAACAAGGACTGAACTTCAGCATGAGGTCAAATCCTTTCCAATTTTACATTCCCCACTTAACAGGATTCCTGCTGGGGCATAAACCTAGGCCAAAATGGTCTCAGAACATATGACAGGGGGGTCTGGAACCTCAAGTGCTGTCACCAATAGGAAAGGGATGGCTTATGTACTTTGGCCAGGGTCTAGAGATGGTTAACACTCGCCCAGTCTCAGCAAACACGCTGCTGATGGCCTTTAATGCAGACATCTGCCACCAGTTACATAACTGGGCCTGGCAGAACAATGAAACAAACTCTATGGTTCAGAGTTGCAAACTGCCATTCATTACAGAAGGCTGCTGGACCACGGCATGTCTCGGCACACGCCTGCAAGTGCACAGAGCTGCACACAATGGCTGCGCCTCTCACTACCCAGGGGCATTGTGGCATGCCATGACATCACCTCCCCGCACTTCTAGGACACAGGTCATAAGCCAGTGATTTATTATTGCACAACTCATGGAACTTCTGTCAAAGTTGAGGAGGGTGAAGCTGGGAGCAAGGCTCCTAATTGCAAAAAGTCTGGTTGTCGCTGATGAACACGCCAAAGTGAAGACACAAAGCTGCAGCGTTTTAAAC